AGCCTGTCAGTGGCAAAAACAAACACTTTTAGTGGACATACATAGACAGGCAGCAGTTGACCCCAAAGATTACGTTGCAGCCAGTTTATTGAATAAATTCCAAAAACTTTATGTACCTATTCATCATTTAGACCCCAAAATATGTTTAAAAATAAATTAAATAAAATGAAATTAGATAAAAATATCAGAAGGACCCTGATGAGTTTCATCATGTTGAAGCATTACACAATGGCCCGACATTTTCCTGCAGGTGCTTTCTGACATTTTAACTATTGTATATATCATGTCTGCAAAACTACTCCAGGCTTTATACTTACAGTTATGGCTCTCTGGTGCCAATATCTTTGGCACTAATCCCTGATTGAACTTTAACAGACTATAGGAACAACGTGTACGAATTCTTAAGCTTCAATACTTATAATTAAATTGCATTTATGTTCTAAATCAGATACATAAAATAAAAGACTCTGGAGTCCTTTTTGACCTCTGCACGTCTCTTTTGAATGTGTTCATTACATCTATATAAACAGAGTCACGTAACAGTAAATACAAACAACACATGACACTAAGTTTGTTTGTGAGTGAAAATTGTGTCTTAGGCAAATAAGGAGTTTTTGTACCCCAAATAATAGATGCAAGTTAAATATATACAGAAAGGCCATCAATTAAAACACATGAGCAGAGGCCAGTATCTAATTGTCCTTTTGTAGAAGCATGTATTTATGCTATATAGTGGTGAAATAAAACATATGGGTAGAGTAACTGAGATTGATGATATTATACTCTTGACTTACTGAAATATTAATTGAATTAAAAACTTTACAGTCTTACAAGTCAAGAGGAGTGGACAGCCATGCTAGCAGCGCTGAGATACTGTGGTTTAATCTTCACCAACTTAGTTCTGTGTGTTTGCATGCTAACATTTGCTAATTAACACTAAACACAAAGTACAACTGAGGCTGTTTTTGCTGGTATTTGGTAATAAACCAAAAGTAGTAAGTAAGTAAAGTATTAAATTAAAATTTGACGTGATTTTGGCTCACCAACATGATTGTGTAGCAACTTTTATGGCAATCCATCCAACAGTTTCACTCAAAACTACAACCTCAACATGCCGCTAGAGAC